TAACAAGCCGTCCGATAGATGTTGAAAGTTAATGGTAAAGTAAATACTCAAGTAGCCTATGCATCAAAAAATTGCACTTACAGCAAATGTTTTGGGAGATACATTCCATAGATCATTTAATCCAAGCAGCCAGTTAGCTCAGATAAACTCAAAGAATGGAAAAAAGGGGAACAGCTAGCTTGTCTCTGTCCAAACTAGCAAAGACCACCAACCAGCAGCTCTAAAACTCACTAGTTAGCATGTTATTTTTTCTGTTTGTTTAATCCGTACGAAAACTAAAGTGCAGAAACAACAATTCAGCCTTTTATCAGGTATGGGGTATGTGCTGGACTACTGAGCTGCAAGAGAGATTTTTTACACATTCAGCAGACACAGAGCAGCATTAACATTCATTTGGGGTTGTGTTTTTATTCCCCTTAATAAATGTATGTAAATTATACTTTCACATCATAACATTCAAATCGTATGAGCAGCCAAGTTGTAACAGCTCGTGTCAGCCTCCTAATTGTAATTCCAAGTTTTAGAAGAAAGGCTGCTAAGCCTCCATCACTGGAAGTTGCATCAAATTAAAATCTAAAATAAACTGTAATATGATGAATTTAACTAATTTAATAGAAGCTGTACAACGTTTTTTTGTTTCAATTCACGACAAACCACTACAAATATGTAACACAACAGCAGTAGCTAATTTAGGCAGCTTCAGTAATGTGACTACAGGGCTATAGCAGTAATCATCATAAAAAAAAATTCAGTGATATTTTTTCACATGATCCATCGTTGATATGATAACGACGATAACCTCTTTAAGTGCAGTGGTTGGGTAAATGTCAGTTACTTCCCACCGCCTCGCATGTCCTACACTGCATGCACTGTATATTAATACATAACCACCGTGTTTACACTCTCGGCTATAAGCACTTCCTGTGTCACGGTGTATGACAGATGGCTGCTTACTGACAGATGCATGAGCTCAAGACCGTTGTCCTCCGGAGCCAGCCAGCCAACCAGCCAGCCGGCCAACCACGAGCTCCCAGTCAGCTCAGTGCACTAAGCCGATCTGTTGCCCCGGCAACTGCTATTTTGGCTCCACCTTAGAGTTTCAACACATTGCAGGGCCAGATAAAATATTAGATAGGGCTCCTTAAAGGGAAGCTTAAAGATGTCTCCGGTCTCTGCAGATTTTTATTCTTGTCTCACACACTCATTTATCATTTCTTCCCCTGACACTGAAACCATCATCTTTTTCTTCCTTCACTCTGCTTTGCCCTATCAGTCTCTGGAGCTCTTCTCACTGTTTCCTCCTCTGTTTCATCCCCCTCCCTCTTACTGTGGATGTTTTGCTCAGCAGAGATGGAGGGAGAGGAAGGGAGAGGAGGAGGGGGGAGGTGCTACCCCTGTTGGTGAGGCTGAGCAGCTTGGAAACTCATCTGGTAGTAATAAGGGCTCCACATCGCTACTGTGACTCATGCCTGCGCACACCCACCAGACTATTACAGGCTTATTTAGTACGTGCGTACGGTCATTAGGCTCTGTGACCATGCGAGCTGCAAAACACACAAACCCTGTGGCGCACCATTAAGACCACACAAATACACACAGAGAAGAAAATACACCTTTACACAGAAATGCTACACGAGACGTATAGTTTAAATCCCACAAACTGTTGAAAACTACAGTAATTACAGGCAAAGTTTCATCTTTCTTTTGAGGGCTCTGCCTCAGGACTACTGTGATGAAATTAATCGCTTCCTTCCACTGTGTCCGTTTCTGTTTGGGAAGTTGGATAGAAATCACTGACCTGTTCCAAGACATTCATTAAAGGCTCATCTGAAAGGTTAAATGTGCTACAGGCTAATCCAGTAAGTTGCATTATTACTCTTGGTGTCAGTAGTGTTTTTCTCACTATCAGGAGTACACAGTGTACCTTTTTCACACTTACAGTACTAATCTTTCTGGGTCGTGCACTGAATTTTCGATTTGTTTGAGATGGAAGCACTATGATAAAGGGGTTCAACAGCTGGTCTGAGTACAGTTGGTTTGGCTTACTGACATTTTAATATATTTACAACATATCAGACTTTGTCAGAGATTGAACAGTGAAGTTCTGGACTTATTCCCACCCTTATCCCTGGTGTTTTTATTACAGTTCACCATTTATCAAGATGGTGTCAGGTATTAAATGTCAAATATGAAGTTTAGACAGTAGACACAACTAAAAAGCCACAAAAAAAAAAAAAAATCAATCACATATAGTCTGAATTGATTCCAGCCTGAAAATAAAACAGAAAAGAGAAGATCTCTATCACGAACAGGCCAATCCTCCATTTACAAAAAGCTTTATGGAAATATTGTCTGGTGTCTTTTATGACACATTTTTACAGTTTTCTGCTCCAGCTGTTCTTAAGCTGATATTTTGAAAGCATCTGGTGAATTTCAAGATACAGTCCCACTCCTAAAATGGACTTAAAAGACTGTGGATGATTTTGCTAATCAGGTGTGACTTAAGAAAAAAAAAAAGCAGGAGGTGCACTGCATCTAAAAACAGCAGAGGTGGTTGCCCACATCTGCATTTCCTGTGGCTGGTGTGTAAACTGTCCATCAAACAAGAAGGTCTCACATTTTCTGACATCACGTCCTCTACCCTATGGTTCCTTCCAGTTTGCAGTCCAGACCTGACAATATGGAGCAGTGTGATGGAAGTCATAACATATCCCATGTCCACTGTCTTTACTGACCTAAACCCATCAGGACTGTCATTTAATATTCAGTCAAAGGCTTCCTCCTCTGAATGCTGTGTGTAACTCTTTGCCCTGATATGTTGCAGCCAACACTGCAGATACATCTGCTTTGGATTGAGGGGGGTTGTTAATTAAAAACTCTCCCCATTGAGCCGTGGCATGATCCACCGCCTTCGGGATCTTTTCTCAGAATCACGACTCGGGATAAGCACGAAGAGATCCTTATCAACCAGCAAAATGGCGGCTTTGCGTGGCAGATCCCACACTCTATCATCTATATTCCTCTGAAGTAATGCAGCAGGCCCTGCGCTCACAGTTTACGCACAGCACGGCACACCTGCGCTCCACCTCTGCTGTTTTTTCTGCTCATTTGGGCAACATCGGCCACACGGGCCGTTTCTGTAGCCTACAACCCTCACGCAAAATAAGAGCATCACCAAGCTGCTATGCGCAATAGTGCGTGATGTGTTTGTGTTATCACAGCGTGTGGTGATGAGTTCCTACAGCGGGGACAAAGGGAGTGGGGAAAGGGTGTACAATCACCGCATTATGAAGCAGGCTTTATGTATGCGTAAAACTGACCAGGCTCGTGCGTCCCGGGGTTGTCGGACATCTCTAGCACCAGCAGCTCGCGGCCCTCGAAGCTCTCCCCGATGGTGTAGATGCGGGTGATGGTCGGGCACTGCAGCCACACCGACACCAGCGCTTTCCGCAGCTCCTCATAGCGGTGGTACTCGTAGGAGATCTCACCGTCGGTACCGGCTGCGCTGACCAGGGAGACCACTGCGGCCCCGAATAAAATTACCGATAGGAACTGTTTCATTTCGACGTGTCCTCTTTTCCCTAAGCCCTGTCTTCCTGCCTGTCTGCCCGCGGCTTGGTTCCAAGCCTTATCTCTGTACTGCAGCCTCGCTTTAGGCTATAAATATCACTCCCTCTGCTCTCTCTCTCTCCTCCTCTCTGATGCGCTGCTGTACCTGAGCGCAGACTCCCAGTCAACCTCCAGTGTAAAGTCAGGCGCAAGATGCAGGCCTACATATCCGGTCATGATTTTCAAAATAAAGATATTTTCCATTCGGACATGGAGATTTAAGGCAATTCATAAGGTCTTTTTACGTCTAGAGGAAAGGCCTGTACTTTCAGAGTAGTGCAGACTGCAAAGACAAAAATGTAAAAGAATAAATAAGAATAACAAAACCACAGACAAAATACACAATTTTAACATAAAATGTAAAATAATCAAATACATTGTTAAAACTACATTGATAAAAAATGTCCTGTGATCAAATTTGTTCCTGTAATAAAATGTTAAGTCTTAAAAACTCTTTGGGTTGTTTTACAATTCAGTGGTTATAATACATATTTAGTCTTTATTTTTTGATACGATTGTTATCCAAATACTGTTCAGTAAGAATGTGATTAACATATTCCAAAATTATTTATTCGATTGATTGATTTGATCGTTTTTTCTATTCATTAGTATGATTTCTTAGTGAGATCTGGTCTTTGCTAAATCACTTCCTGTTTGGTACCTGCTGCTGCTGGCTGACTTGATGCTGCTGTGCGTGCTGGATGGGGCTGTAGGGGTGTGTCCACAGTGCAGCAGAGAGGAGATGGAGGGAACCTACTGCACAGACACTCATCAAATCACCCACTCCCCAACAAACCCACACTCACTGTGTGCAGCAGCGATTCTGATACGTGATGTTAATCTGAAACATTGAAACCTGAACTGTCCGGTGAGCCCAGTCTCTGTAGAAAAGTGTCATTAATGAACAATATCTTATTAATACAGTGGAACATGTTATTATCTGATCACAGTAAAAAAAACTGCTCAACACAACCAAACTCCTGTTCAGTTTTGTTCAAATATTTTATTCTAATATGACAAAAACAGAAAAATAAAACATGTCCAAGGTTTCTCTTGTAAAAATTATAACAGCATTTAATCATTACAGTCTTAAACAAAATAGGCTTGAACAATGTGGAAGTTCCACATAAGCCAATCCCCTCTCATCAAAAAATTTACATGGGTTTCCATTAAACATGCCTGACTTGTTTCAGAAGTCAGCACTGAGTTTAGACAGTTCCTACTGAACTGTAGCTCAACGGAGTAAAAACGGTGTCATCGTGACTCTGTTCAACTCAAGAGGAAGTGTTAAAGTGCTGAGACATTCAGAGGTATACAGAAGCGTTTCACAAGAAAAGTTGCGGTACAACTCTTCTTTTCATTCAGTGACAAAGCAAAGCAACAAATCAATATGAGGATGTTGATGGTTTTTATTCAGCGAACAGAAGCAGACAACAATACTTCTTTTGCAGAAAGGCACAGATGGTGGACTGAAGTCAACGTGCAGTCCGATTCAGAATCAAACCACAGTAGAGCTGATCCTTTGAAAGTACATCTTTAGTGTGTGTGTGTGTGTGTGTGTGTGTTTTATTAAGTGTACTGAGAGAAAAGCAGCAACTGCTGGCGTGCTCACTGTGAGACTCACTGCCTCTTCCCTTCTCCCGGCGTGTGAGGTGTAAGTGGTTTACTGCTCCTTCTTCTCTCCCTGTTTATGCATGTACTTGCTGTACTGGTTGTCTGTCTTCAGCAGCTTGTCCCACCAGGTGAAGGTGGAGGCGTAGTTCCCGACGAAGTTCATGTGGTGGAAGTCGTGGAAACGAGCGCCGGCGTAGAACGGGATCAGGTGGAGAGGGTTCAGAGGGATGTCATAACCGCTGACAGGGAGCAGAGAGAGAGAAAGAGGGGAAAGGTAAGTCACCTTTTCATTCAAAAATCATACCCCTATACGAAAGACTCAGTGTTTGCAACAGAATTACTGAATTATATCTAGGAATTTTCCAATATATTTTCCAACAAATGATTTTTAGATGGGACATAGAAAATAATAAAACATGTCATTTTTGTCACCGTGATATTGAAGATATGAAGCATTCATTATGGTTCTGTCCTCATGTTGCTGTGGCTGGATACCAAGACAAAGCTAGTGTTGTACTTTACTGCACTGAGTATGTGACTACAAACTATAATAGTCTTAGCCCTCTTGTGTGCAAAAAATGACTATGACTATGACTTGTAACATCTTATTTCTATTTTCTGTTTATTTTGGGTTTGTAAAAAATATTAATTATATGTTGTATATACATAATTAAATATATGTTGTTGTCTTTTATTATTTAACTAAATTTACCATCAGCTTATTTATTATTATTATTTGCTTATTTAACGTAAAATAATAATTAATAATACTAATGCTATTTACTATAATTTATAGGATTTTTCAAAAAGAAATAAAACCAGGAAGTTTCATATCAGAGTGACACAGTATAAGAGTTAGAGAGCAACGAAAGCACAGAGGGACACTGACTAAAGGTAAGTCTTAAATAATGTGTTTAACACAGACATATAATCAAAGATAACAAGCTTGTTGCTTTATCAACCAAGAATTTCTGATATTATTTATACAACCAGAGCGTGTGAGCTTGGCTCACATCTTGGTATCTTCCAAGTTTTTTATATCTAATATCTTTTTCAATCTCCTGCATCCATCTATATTTATATAGTTATATCTATATAAAAGCATAATAATGAGCCTACATTACAATAAAGGGGTTTGATATCACATAATAGTACAGTTAGACATCTGGTGTTCTCTGGCTCCCTCTAGTGGTCGACCTCACAACTTACTCAGAGTTCATGTGACGAGAAACGTGCAGGTTCACATGAACTATCATCTCACTGTTTATTGTGTATGCAGTGATGCAACTGCTGCTCTGTTTCTGTAGTGTTTGAACTACATGGGTGTGAGAAGTTACTATTACTGTCATAATATTTACAGCTGTGTGTAAAAGTTTGGGCAATCAAATTCCGTATTTTTTTTTATTTTTGAGGTGAAAAAAAAAGTAAATGAAACCCCTGCAGTAAATAGAGATTAAGAATTAGCCATTCTTCAAATATGAATGCACTGCTACTTTCTATTTAATGACCTAAAATTACTGGAAAAAAATTAAACAATAATTGTGGCATGGGCAAAAGTTTGGGCACTAGTGACTAAGGTGGACAGTTACAGAATATAACAATCTGTTCAACACAGGAAATTAAGAGAAAGAGATTTAGATTAGAGTCTTCGTGCAAAGAAGGACGGAGAGGGTGATGGACAGTGCTCACACGTGTGTGGAAACTGTTATTGTGTCCTACCTGTGGACGTCAATGGTCTCCAGCAGGCGGAAAGCCACCCATGCCCACAGGAAGAACACGTGGTTACAGAAGATCATGATGCCAATGAAGAAACCAGCTCCCAGGATGAGAGTCTCAGCGGGGTGGGCGTATTCTGCCTGCATGCCAAATGGAGCCTGAAGGACAGTTTAGAAGCGGTTAGGTGCCATGATGTGTTTGTACTCACGTTTTCATATGAAAAGGAGTTACAGCATGCTTAATAAGTAACTGTACCGTTAAGAGATTAACCCCGAACGTGGTGTGTTTGTGTTTATTTATCTTATCACTTGTGTGTTGTACTCACAGTGAACTCATGGTGGACTTTGTGGATGTATTTGTAGATCCTGCGGTGATGCAGCAGCCGATGGAGGAAGTAGTGCCAGGTGTCTTCAACAACAGCACAACCAAAGCACTGAGCCAGGAGGTACGGCCTGGAAGAAGAGAGAGAGAGAGAGAGAGAGAGAGAGAGAGAGAGAGAGAGAGAGAGAGAGGGGGATAAACTCAGTGAGTTATTCTAACCAACAAAACAAATGCCACAAAGCCATTAGCTCAATCCAAAGTGCTTTGTTCATCCCCCAGGAAGCATTTGATTGCAGGAGGCCCCAGCATCAAGTAACAACAGCCCTACTTCAAAATAATTGGCTATATCATAATAATAATGAGCATTACTGCATGAACAGCATGTATCAGGCTTTATAATGTATCACATACCATTATTATTGACTTCTACAAATGAAACCAAAACTTATTCTGTTTTGCACGTAAAGCAAATTTCAAAGTAAAACAAATAATCTATGATGACGTTTTAACATGAAGACATAATCACACTGACCAGCGCGGCATGGAGTCCCAGTCATACGGGATGTTGAAGAATTCAGTGAAGTAGTACGTCCCACAGATCAGAGGCAGCTGGATACAGAAGTGGTTGAACAGCAGCATCTTGAAACATCTCCACTGTTTCTCCCAGGTCTCTGGCTTGTCCTGCACGCACAGTGGGAAGGCTTGTTTAGAGAAACCTCAGATTGTAGAAATAAAACCATATTCAACGACCAAAGACACAAACATACCTGTTGGATCTTGTATTTCTGCATGAAGGGGAGGAACTGGAAGAGGAAACCAGGTACGCAGAAGAGGAAATAGATGAACTCATGGACGATGAGCGACCCCCAGGTGGCAATCTGGAACTTGGTGTAGTTGTCCAGCATGTAGCTCCAGGCTTGTTCCAGGGAGGGCTGGAAGGGGTTTTTAGGAAGCACTGCGTCTACATACTCCACTGCAAGGTAGGCAGAGCTCAAGATGTCTGCCGTGCCGTTCACCGCCATGATGGATCCCCCGAGGTAACTGCAGGTCTGGAGAGAAGACTGGAAAACAGGAACTCAGTGTTACATGTACCGTACTTACATGTAATATTACATGTAATCCATGCTCAGGTTCTCTTTCAAAACGTACATAAGTAATGTGAAGAAGAGGAAGGCAACAGAAACAGTCCTTAAAAACAGTAAAACAGAGAAACTACATATAATTAAAAAAAAATAAAAAAGGGTCATATCATTGTCACATGAAGGCTAAAGAAAAATATAACTAATACAATATGAGGGAATTAAATTATGCCAATGAAAATACATCAAAGAAAAATTTAACTCAGAAATTAATCATCACTTTACTTGAAGAAAGAATTAAGAGGAAAGGTATGCTACACATATTCACTTAAATGAGAAATTTTGGTTGTAAAAATACCAGAAAAAGAATTAAACTCATAGAAATATGACACATTTTTAGATCACAGTTTACCATGTGCACTGTTTATAAATTCACCATAAACTCATTAGTTAATCTACAGTAAACTGCATATATACAGTATTTCTTTTTCTCTCTTCCTTTAACCACATCTCAGCTTACTACCCCATCTCAGCTTCAGTATTTATACCTTGTCCACGTTTTAATTTGTTTTAACAGAGTGGAGTTGTCTGGGCTCACTTTGCCAAAGAAGCGGTGGCCCGATATGTCCAAGCAACTATTGATAAACGCTATTTAATTCAACAAAAACTACTTACAAGCATGCAGAATGACACTAATGTCAGACTGTTTGTGCAGTTACTTACGCTTCAGTGCAATAAGATGATAACACTCACAGCAGCTAAACGTTTGTTATAATCTCATACAGAAGACTTCGACAAATAAAACATCTGTCTTAGCCATGCCTCGTTAATATCATGTAGGCTATAATGGATAGTTTGTTACGTAGTCTTGCACGGTAAGTTTTTTATTAATTAAACCCCGTCTCTCTCCGCTAGCAAAGGCCTAAATCTTTGTTGATATGATTCTACAACTCGCAACTCAACTTTCTGCCTCCATTCTTGGTCCATACGTCTAAATAACAAATAAGCATTCGCCACTGCAGCTGGAAATTCCGCTAAATATTTCAATTATAGCCAAACACGACGTTAGACTCTTACCTTCCGCGGTACGTCCCGTCTACCTGAGCGAGAGGCAGACGGCCGGGTGAAGTACAGTGCTAACCAACGATCTGATTGGCCGAGAGGAGAGGAGACTGACGTCGGGGGGCCGAGCGGCTTCTCTGATTGGTCCGCGGGATGGAGTGATGATAGTGAGACTGAAGGTTTCTACAGCAACAGCCAATCAGAGGCGAGATCTGCTTTCATAACCTGTGCAGTGTTGAATGGACTGTCTGCTGGGAGAGATGGGGTGGTCAGACAACTTTTGAGTCATACATGTGTCCTTCATCTTAAACTTACATTAGAACAGTCTGTAACTCCAGCGGCAGCTTCTAAAAATGTTGTACAGGTGTTGACAAATAAATTGATGTATTACTACTTATTATTATTACTGATACAATTACATTAAACAGCATTTTAATGTTGCAGATGAGGCAAATATCATTTTTACTACTTTGTAATGTTAGGTAGTGTTAATCACTGACAATGCCTCACGTTTTTTAAAATGATTATTGTATGAAAAATTGTAATCTGCTAAGTAGCTAGTGACTATAGCTGTCAAATAAGGGTAGTAGAAGTATAAAGAAGCATAAAATAGAAGTGCCCGTAACTGTGATTATGCACAGTACTGGTAAAAAAAAAGCTGTTTTCTGGCACTGAAAACATTTTCAGCATTTACCACAAGCTGCCAAAAATCTCAAACGTCAAATCCCTAAACACAGGCAGCATTTCAAGAAAGGAGTAAAGTGTAATTGAGAACAGTCTAGATTTGGCAAAACTGTGATTTTGAAGTTGGATCAAAGACAAAGTTGAGATTAGTTAAATCATGAGCAAGCAAATGATGCCAACTTTTGCATACATGCTAATTTGTTGCAAAGGACAAACTTTTGGCAGGTATCAAAAAAGTATAAAGGTTAAATAACCAGTCTGTTTGACATTATAATAAATGAGTTACTGTAAAATTATTAAAATATCACACATGCACATTTCCATTTCAATATTTTACTGATTTGGCAAAGTTTTAAAAACAGATTATATCATTTCACAGCTTTAAATACAAGAAGCATATTTATTAATGATAATATAAAACAAATAATGAAACATTTTCAAAGTCATTAGCCTACATGACATTCCTCAATACACTGACAAGAAACAGCGATACCAGTTACTATTATAGCAATTTTCAATATAGGAGCAGAGGGAAGAGAAAGAGACTGAAGAAAAAAGAAAATCGAGAGTAAGTTTGGTCACTTTCCAGAGAGAGAGAGAACAGATTAGTAGAGTAATAAAGAGAGACAGAAAAGAAGAGACATATTAAAGTTGGCACATTCATAGTACGTCAGGGTGTGCAGTAATTAATAGGGTTGCTACACCAAGGGAGAAGAGGGTATGGTTGAAGGATAAGAGGGTAGAGACGAGGACCATGCAGTGAGTTCAGGCTGTTGTTGTCATTAGTGGTTACAACCACAGTGAAGACGGCTGCCTGGTGACGGTAAAGCACTGATACATCCAGCAGCTTCTCCCTCTGTCTGTCACTGTTTTTGGCAAAATGAAACGAGGCTTCTCCTTTACCAGAAGAGTTAGTATTCCAGTGAAAGTCTTGTTTTCTTTTGTTTTGTTTTTTTTTTAGAAGAAATGTACATTTCCTGTAACTGCTTCTCACATAGCTGTTCTGAATTCATGCGGCTTAATGCAACCGACACACCTATCTAAACACAGTTCTCAAAATGTATTTCTTTATCCCAGAACAGCGGCCGAGTCCAGCTGTGCGTACATCTGTCCAGTAACAGTACTCAAGGCATAACAAAGGAGAAGAAGAGGGAAGCGGGGTGTAATTTGACATTCAGGCACTCTTGAACAGCCACACTGCAACACTGTAAAAGGTCAGAGGTCAGACAGAGTGCGTTCATGCGGCGTCGGACCAGGCGTCACCACAAAAGAGACTCAGATGCACACAAACACACATGCTCACATGTGCAAGCAACGGAGCACCTTTAAATGCAAGCGCACACACATACACACACTCACTCAGACACACACAAACGCACACACGCCTCAAGAGGATAAAAACGAAGGAGAAACAAAGATTTCAGTCCCAAATGGTTGTTCTCTGCCTTCCTCTCCCGCAGATTACATCAGTGGTCTTTCTCAGAGCTTTTACGTGTTAACATTAGTAATGTTAAAGTAACTTTGCAGTTATAGTAGCTTCATTTCAGTAGCGTTTCAATGGCACTGCATTGGTACAGTGTTGCTTCAAACTGGTTTTGTCCAGTCACTGCTGCAGTCCTGCCAGGAAGGGATTACAACACGGGTTCGATCCCCCCCCTCCCTCCGTTTGTTATACCTCCCCCCTGTCCAGGTAAGTGCAAAAATCTTCATCATCATCCTCAACAACAACAACAACAACAATCTTGTCATTTCCTTCATCTGCGTCAGTGCCTGTGCTAATGCTGCCCCCCATCCAAGCATTGGCATCATAGACAGATCCAAGACCAGTATTCAGCAGGAGAATACATTCTGCTCCAAGTCAGTGGCAGGTGTCAAGAGCAGTCATAAGGGCTTGTCAATCACAGTCACACCTGTAGTCAAAAAAAAAAAAACAGATTATCACTATTGCCCTGGTTAAGAGTAGGAATAGTTGTAATACTTGTATTGGCAATGAAGTGCACGTGATTTTCTTGATATGATATTGTCTTTTTTAAGTTTAGTATAAGTAATTGTCTTGACTGAGTCTCTGAACTGAATTTTAATTGAATGTCTTTTATTTTTTTTTGTTTGTTTTTTTTCTTGTTCTCTGTCTAATGTCGTTGTGTAAAGTCTGCAATAAAGTGAATTGAATTTCATGCAAAATACATTATTCAACCATCCTAAATGACAAGGTGAGAAATTATTGTCCTTACCAGTTTTAACTTAACGCAGATATAGTTTACAGTATGAGTATTTGCATAAGTGACGGCCACACAGTGACCAGAAATTGCAGTAAAACGGTACCAAAGATCTTTTTGAGGTCATTTAGAAACTGTTGCCTTTTCATAGTTCACCAGAAAGTACTGACCACATATATCTTGCTTACAATCCTTTAATAACCAACACAAAGGAATCCTTATCAAAAAGTTTTGTTTATGTTATCAGGTTTTTTAAAACTCTCACACTGGAACTTAAACCCATCTTACATGCCAAAATAAATTTCCGGTGCTGGGTGTTTATATATATATATATATATATTTTTTTTTTTCTGCCCACACACAGTCTCACATTAGACTAAAGATCAAGATATCATCTCCTGAACAGCAGTAAGGCAGTAAAAGCAAAATTAGACCTATTACCTTCTGTGTCCCTTTGGTATCATTTGGTAAACATCAGTATGTTGTGCTCAGTTTACTGATGCTACATTTTACTGTACGTGAGTCCTGGGATAGGGCCAAGCAATATGGCTGAATCAGTGTTATAAAATTAGTACGAATATTTATTTTTAGTAACAAGATACATCACTTCATGGTGGATGTATACAAACTCTCACACTGTTCACTAAATGACTGTGTTCCACTCTTATTATAGATCTGGAATAACAAACATTTAAATAATTCATGTTGTCATTTGTTTGTAGCTACTGATGAGAAAAACAAAATAGAGAAATTAAATCAGCTGCCTGCAAAACGTTAAATGTTTTTGTTTTTTTTTAAAGCTAAATTAGTGAAGCCTTACAGCCTTACAAACAGACACCTTTACATCTTGTCAGTGTGTACGTTCACACCTGCATAACTGCGTCCTGTGCTCATGCAGGTCGGCAGCAGCGTCCACTTGTCCGAGTTTGGATTGTAGAACTCCACAGAAGCCAAGTTACAGCTGCCATCGTCTCCTCCCACCACGTACAGCAGGTTGTTTACAGCACACACACCTGAAAACACACACATGCATGTATACACAGAGTGAAGATTCATGGACATCAAACAGAGGAACATCTCACACTTTAGGACAGACCGGTGGACAGACTGTCTTTCTTACCTGCGTTGCGTCGACACATGTTCATATCAGCTACTTGTCGCCAGCTGTTGGAGGCCGGATCATAAACTTCACAACTCTTCCTCACCAACGGACCATCGTGTCCCCCCACAGCGTAGAGTAAACCTTTTAACACCCCCACACCTGAGAAGTCATTAGACAAATGGTTAGACAATAGTTGTTTTTTTTTTTTACAGCAGCAGGTAAATATTCCTGTCTCATTTCGGTCTCGAGTTTCTCTTGAACGTGCATCTTCTTCCCCTGTCTCCTTAATGTTTTTTTAAATATGTAAACATAAGTGTATTTTTGTATTGTTTGACGGTAAATCTGAAAGAATCCTTCATCTACTGCATATTTTGGCATTCATTTTATAAAAAGTTATGAAAATATTTTGCAGTTAACCAACCACCGTGCACCGTCACACACAGCAACACAGACCTGCTCCACTTCGTCTTGTGCCCATCTCAGCGATGTAGCTCCACGAGTTGCTTTTTGGGTTATAAGCTTCTACTGTACTCAGACATTGCCTGGTCGCTCCATCATAACCTCCAACTGCATAGAGGATCCCTGAAAACCACACAAAGCAGGCTTGTAATCCATAAGTTAGAATGAGGCGCAGTGTTGGACAAAATGACAGAAAAGCATAAATACAGTAGCAATACAGGGAATACACATTTTGTGACGCTAATGATTTTTGAAAATGACGGAGCTGTTGATGCAGTTCTGCCTTATTTTGCAGTGTTCTAATGCAGAGTGCTTTAAGTATTTGAATTCTTCTTGTTTTAATCATTTTTAATTTATAGATTTATATACTTATTTCTCCTTGTTTTATATATTGTCTTCTGTGACTCTTTTCCCTTTTCTTACTCCTGTAAAGCACCTTTGAAAAACTTGTTTTAAAAAATCTAAAGGAATAAAGTGGGTTGCTCGCTCATTCGCCGTGGATGACGGTCTAGTTGGGATTACTTTGGGAATGCATTTTTCGATTTTTTTCTTCATAATTATGTCGTTTCACACCTTGCCATATTAACTAATTTTTCAGTTTTTGG